TGTTGCAATGTTCAAGCATATAATTGTTAGATTTGGGGGTTTGAGAGGCTTAGCGGGGGCTAGAGAGAGGCACTGAGTTGAGTCATCCTTCAGGCAAGAGCTTTTAGAACACCTGCAGGCAGGCGGCACAGCATGATGGGGGCTGAAGTAGAAAGTGTCCGACCTGTCTGGGGAATGCAGAACCTGCTTTTAAGGTCTCCTCTGAGAGGATTAGGTGGGAGAAGCAGTGTTGTGACAAGAGGAAATGAGTCTAAGGTTGACTGACACCCACTAACTAGACTAACAAACACGGTGTTTTCTTGGGTTTCTGGCTGAGGCAGGTGTGTGAAGTCTCAAGGACATTTCTGGACAAGGGCCATCCGGAAGAACAAAGGGCCCAGATAGTTCCCTTTTGTGTTTTCAGCCTTTCTTCGGGGACAGTTTTTATTCTTTCTGAAGTGTTACCTTTACATTTTACTTCAGAAAAGGTCCGTTCTCTTTCATTTTTCTATAAAAGGAAATTCGGAATGAAAGAATATTTCAGTGTCAGACAATAAATTAATATTTGCATTCTATTAGCATTTCAATTTATTGTTACATTGATTTTTCCATCGCTGTATTGGAAAAGCATGCTTTCTATTTGGTAGTCATTTCTTTTATATATTTTAATGTATTTTTAATTAACTCTTGTTGAAATCCAGGGAAATTGAAAAAAATATCAAGGACAATACAGAGAGTAGCTAGCAAACGCTTTTCACCCTTTTTCATATAAAATGTAGGTTACACCTTGGTATGTCTGTACTTGCATACTGTTATACTTTACTCATGCTGACCTGTTACCCTCCATTGTCCTTTCTACTGACCTCCTTATTTTTCCCAATCATCCTTTTGCTGCTGTCATGGATTCTACATGTATCTCTCCGGTCTTTCAGTATGTCACCTCTAGCTTGTAATTTTGTTGCTTAGAGAAAGAAATATCAAAAGGACAAATCCACAGGAAAGAAAACAAGTTATTCTTGCATGCAGATGGTACAGTATTCCATTCCAAAGTCTTTGGAGAAAACTGATGATAATCACTTTTAACAGAGCATAAGGATCCAAAAGCAACATGGAAGTATCAGTAGCTTTCCTGTAGTCAACAAAGAGAGCACCAAAGATAGACATGTTGAAATCTGGATTCGACATTGAGAAAAAAACTTGCAGCATTTGATATGACCCTCCGATTACCTCCTCTTGCTGGTCTTCATATACTTTTTCTTCCCCTTCATCATCAGCTTTCTACTTTCATGTCCTGAATAGTCATTTCTTTAAGACCATTTCTTGTTCCTTTCTGACTATTACTAACATTGTGTGTGTATGTGTGTGTGTGTGTGTGTGCGCATCACAGTCCCACTACTAGGTAAAGTATTCCTTAATTTATCCTACTTGAGATATAGTGTTCATAATCTTTGCCTTCTGTATACTTGTTTCTACTTCATTCTCATAATTTTTGCTTTACAAGACTTATCCTCAATGGACTTCCCATTCTATTTTAGGGTCCCTAAATTTCTTTTAAATATTTCTCAGCCTTTTGATTTCTCAAGACTGCATATTAAGTTGTTTAACTCAGAACTGTCTTTTATGTACAAGATAGTCCCTGTTGTTTATTCCATTTATATCTCACAATTTTTCATTCTTGGTGTTTTATTTGGTTTTGAAAAATAAATAAAAGAAAAAGAAGATAAAAGTAAAAAATAATGATAAAAACATAGAAAAATTGCTTTTAAAAGTAAGATGGCATATTAAAAACAATGTTGACTGAAGAAAGAGCTCAATGTTATAGTATCTGCCGACAATGTCAGACTCTTGGGTTCAATTATCAGAACTTCAACAAACTAATGGCCCTGGAGATTGCACACAAAACTCTTGCCCTGACAATTACTTTCTGCAAAGTACAAGGATACAATATCAACATGTAAAAAGCAGGAACTTTTGTATGTACCAGTAAGAAGGTCCCTGAGAAATAAACAAAGAAAACAATCACTTTTACAGTAACCTGAAACATAATTATGCAAAGATGTTAAATACCTCCTTGATAACAATCATATTTTTCTGATCATCTTCTATTTTCAAGATTTATCCCAGGTGCATGAACTGGCTTTTTGGAGCCCATCCCCTGTCGGGATGCCTTGCTCAGCCTTGATGCAGCGGGAGTGGCTAGACCCTGCCTCAACTTGGTATGCCAGACTTTGTTGACTACCTAAGAGAGGCTTTAGCCACTCTGAGAAGTGGATGGGGGGTGAGTGGGTTGGGGGAGATGGGAGGGTGAGAGAAGAGGAGGGAGAGGGAATTGTGGATGGTATGTAAAATGAAAAAAAAAAATAAAAAAAAGAAAAAGAAAAAAGATTTATTTTTATGCATGTGCCATGTGAAAATCTGCCAGGAGTGTTCAAGGAAGCGAGAAGAGGTTGTGCAATCCACTGACTGGCCTGAGAGTTACAGTTAACTGTGAACCTCTTGAGCTGGATGCCAATTTTATGCATATGCCATTAGATATTTTTAAAACTTTGTCTCCTGTTGCCTTTCTCCACCCCAGTCAACCATTTCAGATGTTTCTCTTTCTTCCCTCAGATAGTTAGTTACCCTTTCTCTTTCATTTTACATATAATCCATTATCCTATTTCTCACATCTTTTAAGATTTATTCCTCCAAGCCCAGCGGGGGTGGCACACGCCTTTAATCCCAGCACTCAGGAGGCGAAGACAGGCATATCTCTGTGAGTTTGAGGCCAACCTGGTCTACAAAGTGAGTTCCAGGACAGGCTCCAAAGCTACAGAGAAACCCTATCTGGAAAATCTCCCCCCCCAAAAAAAAAGATTATTCTTCCATATTCATTACCTCCCTTCTAGTTTCATGACCTCCCCAGCACACATATATAAACACACAAACAAGCACGCATGCATTTAAGTTTAGCTTTCAAGTATGAGGGAAAATGTTGCATTTATTTGTCCAAGCTTGGGTTATTTTGCTTAGCATGGTGATTTTAGATGCATTCACATCCTTGCAAATGTCATGTTTTCAGTTTTGTTTATGGCTGCATAAAATTCCTTTGTCTGTATATAGCACACTTTCTTTTTAAAAACAATGTTTTATTAATTATTTGAGAATTTCATACAACATACATTTATCATACTCCACACCCACCACTCCTCCTTCCAACTCCTCCCAGTTCCACCCTCTCTTCCCTGTAGCTCCCTCCTACATTGTATCCTCTTGAAAATTTGATTTAGAAGAGACTATCTCACAAAAGAGGTCTTGGTTCTTCCACTCTTAAAATCGTTGTACCCCCTCTTCTTTATTTTTCTCAGAGCCTTAGGAGTGGGCAGCCCATGGCCAGTTGATGTATTCATTTTGACCAGTTATGGCTGCCTGTAGTGATGATCTCCACCTTAGCACATCTTTATATGTTCATCTGTGATTGGATGTCTAGCCTGCTTCCACTATTGTGAATGGTATATAAATAAGTATGGATGGGCAAGTACTTCTCTGGAATGTTGACTTAGATTCCTCAGAAATACACATGAGTCATGTAATTCTAATTTAAGTGCTTTAAAGGAACATCCATAGTGATTTCAGTAGTTTCTGGGCTAGATTACATTCCTCTCAGCAGTGTGTAAGAGTTCTTCCTTCCTTACATCTTTGCTAGCATTTGTTATTTTTTTTTATATGATAGACATTCTAACTTGGGAGAGATGAAATCTGCAGTCAGTTTTAAATTTTGTTTCCCTAAAGGCTTAAGTTGTTGAATACTTTTTCAAATACTAATTGGCCATTTGTGTTACTAATAATCCATTTAATAATTGGTATTTAAAATTTTCATTTGTGTATATATCCTACGTATAGATGCACTGTCTGATGTGTAGCTAACAAGGATTTATTTCCCATTCTGTAAGCTGTCTCTCTACACTGGAGATTGTTTACTTGCCTCTGCAGAAGCTTCTTTATTTCCTGTAATCAAGTTTCTCAATTCCTGGGGTTATATGCTATGTTATTGGAGTTCTGTTCAGATAATTCTTGCTTATGCCTGTATGTTCAAGTGGTTTTCCCGATTTCTTCTAGAAGTATCAAAGTTTCAGGTCTTAAATTAAGGTCTTTAATTGCTTTTGAATTCATTTTTGTGCAGGGCAAGAAATGTGTCAATTTTCATGTTTAATTCTTCTACATGGGAGAAGTCAGTTTTCCCAGAACCATCTATTTAAAGAGGCCATTCCCCCCCCCCCCCAATGTTTGCTTTTGGCATCTTTGTCAAAATTAGGTAACTCTAATGATTTGAGTTTATTTCTGGGTTCTGTATTTTTTTCTATCGGTGTAATGCCTATTATGTGATAGCACTGTGCCACGTGTATTACTATGGGTCTATAATATAATTTGAGATTTGGAACTGTGATATCTCTAGCTTCATTCCTGGTGTTAACAATTGCTTCAGCCATTCAGGGACTTTTCACCTTCCATATGCATTTTAGGATTGTTCTTCCTATTTCTGTGGAGACTGGCATTGGAATTTTGATGAGGGTTGTACTGAATCTGTACATTGTGTTTGGAGATGTAGCCATTGCTACAATACTGAGCCTGTGAACATGACAGGTTATTCTGCCTTCTAATGTCTTCTTTAATTTCTTTCTTCATTGTCTTAAAGGTTTTTGTTCAAGAGATCTTTCACCACATTCATTACATTTACTCCTTGTTATTTTTGAAGCTATTGTTAATGAGATTTTTCCTATGGTTTCATTCTTGATGAGTTTCTCAGTGATATGGTCATATATACATATGTGTGTGCATGTATATACATGTATGTATACATATACATGACTTAAAATATTTGTGTGTGTGTGTGTGTGTGTGTGTGTGTGTGTGTGTGTGTGTGTGTGTGAGTTGTGCATGTGTGTTGTTACCCACGGAGGTCAGAAGATAACATTGGATTTCCTGGAGCTGGAGTTACAGGTAGTTGTGTGTTGCCCTGCTGTGGATGTTAGGAACTGAACTCTGGAAGAGCACTAAGTCTTCTTAATCATTGATCTATCCCTCCAGCCCTACTACTGACTTTTGTATGCTGATTTTGTATCTTGGTGTATTTTAAAAGTTTTTTCTATTTTAAATTTATGTGGATGGGTGTTCTACCTGCATTTATGTCTACATACCACTTGTGTGCAGTGCCCACAGAGGCCAGTAGATGGCATCGGACCTCCTGGAAATGGAGTTACAGGCAGTTGTTAGCAGCCATGTGGATACTGCGATTTGAACTCAGGTCCTCTGGAAGAACACTGAGTGCTCTTAACCACTGAGCCATCTCTCCAGCCCCTTATCTTGCTATTTTGATGAAAGTGTTTTTCAGGTCTCAGTGTCTGTCATGAAGTCTTTAGGATCTTCTAAGTAGAGGATCATGTCGTTTGAAAATAAGGATAATTTTACTTCTTTCTTTCCTATTTAAACCCCTTTTCTGACATTCTCTTGTCTTATTGATGTAACTAACATTCTGAGCACTACTTTGAAGAAGAGAGAAGAGAGTGGGCACCCTTGTCTCTTCTCAGGGATTTTAGAAGAAATATTTTGTTTTTCCTAGGAGGATCTTTCATATGAATGATTTTGAGTTTATATTTTCATTTGGTATGAACTGAATAGCATAGTTATGTTTTATTTGGAATTTCTTATTCTTTATGAAACTCATTCATTAAAGAATTGTTTTGCAATATCTATTCTTTCATGTTCTTTGTGAAACAACTGCATGATTACTTTTAATAAAATTAGTTAATGTCATACTTACTCAGGGTCTTGCGGTAAGGAAATCATTTTTACTCCTTTTCTGTTTATTCACTATGTATTTTAGGTTGTTTTGAAATTCAGGATCCTCATATCTTAGTCTCATTTGTACTGGAATTATAGCTTTGCATTTTCAAGATCAACTTAAAATTTTCTTGATTTAAGTAATTTCACCAGGAAGTATCAGAAAACCCGATTTGCTCCTCATTGAAATACCTGTAAGTTTGAATGCCTGTAGTCTCTCTGATTTTATGGAAACAAAATTCTGTCACAGGGAACTGAATTTAACTTGTGAAATGTAGTGAGTCAACAGGAACCCATTCTATTAAACTCTAAGGCAAATGTACACTTTGCTATTCATGTTAGCGAAGTGTGCATTTGCTTCTGTCCATGATCAAACTCTCCTTCAGTATCAGAAACATAAATCTTCTTGCTTCTAGAAAACCCAATTTTAGATACCAAGCCGTGTCTTTCTGTTAGGAATTTTAAAAAGGGAACTGATAGAAGACCTAGCCATAGTTTCCTTTGGTTTACAAACACATTACAGTTTGCAACAATTCTCTTTTGGTGAGTCACATCCTTTATTAGCAAATGTCATTCTGCCTCTAAGAACTTTTATCACTAAAACCACTAAAGATTTTTTTAAAAACTAAAACATTGTGTTCCTTGTTATTCAGTAGTCAAAGGCATCTTTTCAATCCATGTCTCATCATAGTGACCTTTTGCATGGGCTGGCATGCAGATGGCTGCTTTATTGATTATAATCCACAAGGAATGGTTTCTGTTTTTTTTTTCATCTAAAAATGCTTCAGAAGTTAAATTCATTCAAACACTGATGAGAAACATCAAAGCTTTTTTTTTGTTTTGTTTTGTAGCTAAGAAGTATTAGTTGGTTTCAAGCTAAACAAACCTATGTGGGTGGCCTGGGTAAGCTTATTTGCTTAAGACTTGTCAGTTCGTCTTGTCCATGTTTGCCAGAGATACTTAGGAATTGAATTTTCTGAAAAATAGTTGAGGTGTCACATGAAGGTGAGTAAGAGAGAGAGACTTGGATCAGTTGTAGGGCAGAAAGAACAAAGGAAAAGCTAAATCTCTCTCTCTCCTCTCTCTCTCTCTCTCTCTCTCTCTCTCTCTCTCTCACACACACACACACACACACACACACACACACACACACTCTCTCTCTCTCTTGCTCTTTCTCTTGTGTTTGTGTACATGTGCATGTGCATGCGTGCATGAGTGCATGTGTGTGTGTGTGTGTGTGTGTGTGTGTGTGTGTGTGTGTGTGCTTACTGGAATGAGAATAAGGAAATGGCTTCCAAAGCTTTATTTCTTTTTGAACATCCGCACAATGGGTAAAAGTGGCAAATATGGATCACATTTTGTGTACGTTTGTGTTGTGTATTGTATAGACTTGGAATACTAAGTTTTTGAACAAGGCTGATCATACAAATTGAATGAGACAGCAAATATAACAACCACCCATATTTATTAAGCACTACCATTCAATGGGCACTGCTCTGAGCCATTTACATATATTAATTAAATTAATTTTCAATACAACTGCCAACTAGTATTTCACAGATGAAGCTGTAATTTACAGAATTGGAACAAATGTCAGTGTTATAAAGCTAGTAGAGGAAGTTAGGATTTGAACCCAGATACCTAGATTCTGTCCTCTCTACTATCTCCATTTCTTCAAAATTCTTACCTAAGCCATTTCCTTACACATCCAGAAAACTTCTGCTGCTTGTTCATCAAGAAACTTGCTTGATTAACTTTTATCTGGAGTTGCTTCTAAAAGAGGGAGGCAAAGAGCATATATTTCATGAGGAGGGAGTAGACAGGTTGTTTCACCCCTACCCAAGGAGCTATTTGCACATGATAGCTGGTAGAGGAGGGAAAATTGGTTTTCTCCAATGGAGTGACAGTCCACAGTAGGTCCCATTCTCAGGAGTAGCCAGCCAACACAAACTGGACTGGACTTGTTTTTTAACAAGAAACAAAGAATATGAAGCTGAGTGGGTGGGTAGGGAGGTGAGGGTGAATCTGGGAGGAGTTGGGGGAGAGGAATGTGTATGGTTAAAATATAATATATGAGATTTCCAAACCAATAAAAATATAACAAAAAAGAAATTGTGAAATCCAGGAATCTGTGCATTAGTTTCCCATTGACTTCATCTCTGTGGCTTTTTGTTCAAAATTTCCCCCATTTCTATAAAGCAATGGACACAAACACAAGTGCTGCTTCTGCTTCTGTTCTCTTTTGATTTCTGTGGCATGCACAATTCTCTTCTAATTTTATGTCTTTAACCGCTTTGGTGGCTTCCTTTTCTCTCCCCAACCCTTCAATGTTGCTTTTCCTCTCATGTAATCCCCTCCTCAGTAATTTTATACAGCTCTGAATAGCTTTCTTTCCCCTGAGCTCTAAATTCTTCTACCTACCTGAGTACTAAATAGGTCCTTTTGGAAGCTTGCAGATACTTCAGTTGAACATGTCTCAAAGGGAAATCATTCTCTCTTCTTTTAATCCAGCCTTACTCTGAAGATACAGTGACGTTTAAGAACATAATTATGATTTTCCATGTCTCTGCTCAAATATTATGTCTGCATCTTCAAAGGCTTTCCAGTGGGATTCTAAATGTCGTCAGGTCAGCCATATACTACAAACCCATCTCCACTCTCTCCTCACCCCAGGTAACTGGACAACCCTAAAACCTATCTGGAAGCTTTGCATCACTGTTGTTGTTGTTTTTTATCTGAACACTACTTTTGGTTTGTGTTTCATGTTTAAATTTTATCGTTTTAATTAATAGCTTCTTGGTTAATCTAGAAGGAAATGTTTATTTATTTTGCACACATTTGTGCTTTCATGGCACGCAATTCATACCTCTATTGCAGCACCTAGACATGTGAAATGAATAAGCAATCTTGTTTAGTCAATTATGTGCTCAAGTAAAAGAATAGAATTCTTCCATGCTTTAAGAAGTCTTAATATGTACCTGATATATAAATTCATTTGGAGATACTTATAGAGGACAAATGCATAATGTATTTGTTAATTGAAATAACAAGATATTTGAGAATTTTCTTCTACTAAGTTATTGATTTAGAAAGTTAGCTCATCTTGATGTACAGCAAAAATTACCTATATAATTACACATAACAGGTTTTCAAATTCATATATAACTTATCCAGTGTTTTAATGGCTTCCAATCTGTAATGAGGATGGTTATTACTGTGGTGATATTTTATCTGTGTCCCCCAATAAAGTTTACCTGAGGATCTGAGGAAAAAGCCAGCCACTATAGTAAACATAGAAGTCAGCCAGTGGTAACATACTCCTTTAATCCTATCACTTGGGAGGCACAGATCTGTCTGGATCTCTCTAAGTTCAAGGCCACACTGGGAATAGTACATACCTTTAATCCCACCGCCAACCATAAAGGTCTGGAGGTCTGTACAGATAGACAGGAAGTGACAGAGTTGGGCAGGAAGAGGAAGTGATATAGCAGGGCAGAGAGAAGAAATGAGTTGGCAGAACAAAAAGGCATATAGGCATGAATATACAGGAAGTAGCTCTCTTTAGAAGCTGTGGAGTTGGCGAGGTGAGGTTATCTGTGGCTTTTCTTATTCCTCTGATATTTCAGGTTTTAACCCTGATATCTCGCTCTGGGTTTTTTATTTGATAAGACCTCTTAAGATTTGTGTTACACTTTACAATGATTTTTTAAAATTCTATCAAAAAAATAGTATGTGTTAATTAAAATGATTATATAATTATATAATTTCTACTTCCCTCCACCACTTTCCATGTCCCTCTTTCCAGCCCCTCTCATTTTATTTTTATTATATTATTTTAGTTATTATTTTATTATTATTTCCTCAACTCTCAAAACAATTGCTTCTTTTATTATTATTGTTTCATAATATGTGTATGCATGTATGTATACACACACATATATAAAATATGTAAATACACCATTCTGAATGTTTTTTCTGCTATTTGTATGTCTATGATTTCAGGGTTGACCATTTTGTATTGGATAATTAATTAGGAGACTCACCCCTGGAAGAAGCTAATTCTCCTTTACCCAGCAGTAGTTAGTTGCATGTAGATTTTTGTCTAGGGGTCAAACTCCATGAGATTTTCCTCCTTCCATGTTGTCATGTCTATTGTTATTGTCATTGCTCAGGTCTTATTTAGGCAGCCATTTCTAAGAGATATAGTCTCACAG